AATGGAGTATGAGAAGAAGCTCAAGGCCGAAGAAGAGGAGCGACGTAAAGTGCGAGAAGAGGAGCGCAGAAAGTTTGAAGAGGAAGCTCGGAGGCTCTTGGAGGCCAAGGAAGCCAACGAAAAGGCAGCCCGTGAAAAGAAAGAAGCGGAAGAGCGCGAAGAACAAGAGCGTGCCGCTGCGGAGGCCGCTGCTGCTGCCGGAGAGCGTGATTTGGCATCAACCCAAGAAAGCCACACTGACAGTGCTGGCTCGCAAGCCATGGAAGGGGTCGAAACACAAGAGCCGTCTGCGACCCTGGCCGAAGACACGGCAGACGACGCTAGTCGCGTCATGACAACTATCCGTGGAGAGGAAGTCGACGTCACTGAACTCGGTATTGACCCTGATTATTTGGCGGCTCTACCAGAGGAATTCAGAGAAGAAGTCATCGCACAAACGGTCAGCACCAGGAGATCTCAAGCTCGAGAGGAGGCTGCCACTGGCGAACAGGGTGAAGTCTTCCAAGAGTTCCTCGACGCTCTCCCGGAGGATCTGCGACTAGAAATCGTTCAACAAGAACGTCAGGATGCGCGCCGGCGAGAGAGAGATGAGCAGCGCCGCCAGGCGACAACCGCGGGCCAAGACCAGATCGCAGTGGACATGGACCCGGCAAGCATCCTCTTGACATTCCCTCCTGAATTGCGACAGCAAGTTCTCATGGATCAAGGAGAGGACATAATGGACCACTTGCCTCCTGAAATGGCCGCTCAGGCCCGTCTGCTTGCCCAGCAACACAGCGCTCACCCTGCTGTCACAGGCAGAAGCCCTCCTGTCGTTGCTCGACGACCAGGTGCTCCACCTGTCGAATCGGGAGAAGCCAATGAGAACAAGGTACAGCGGCGGACAGTTGTGCAGATGCTGGACAAGCCAGGAGTTGCTACTCTGCTTCGGCTCATGTTCATTTCCCAGATCGGCTCCATCCGCAACTACCTCTTCAGTGTTCTGGCCGATGTCTGCGAAAACCGTCAAAATCGCCTCGAAGTAATCAGCACCATTCTCTTGATTCTACAAGAAGGAAGCACAGACATGGAAGCTGTTGAGCGCAGCTTCAGCCAACTCTCTGTGAAGGCCAAGAAGTCTAAGGATAAGGACGCAGACCCCAAGACCCCTCAGAACCTTAAGCGGACTCTGACGTCGCTGAGCGCTGCTGTGCATCAGCAGTCCAACTCGGAGATATCACCACTCATGGTCGTCCACCAGTGCTTGGATCTGCTGCAAGATCTCTCCACCAAGAACCCTCACATCCCCATGCTCTTCCTGACAGAGCATGAGGCGGTTGGATCTTCCCTCAAGCGTACACTCAGCCGCAAGGCCAAGGCCAAGGACTCCAAGGCCCACAAGTATGCAATCAACTCACTCCTCACTCTTCTCGACAGAGATTTGGTGATGGAGAGCTCGGTGGTTATGGCCTACCTCGCCGATTTACTGAATAAGATTACGGTACCATTGGCTACGATGGAGCGACGCCGTCGGGAAGCTCTAGAGAAGGCTGCTCGGGAGGCCAAGAAGAAGGCAGCGGAAAGTGCAGCGGAAGCCAATCCCGCTTCGGCCTCAGCCGCCCAACCTGCTGAGAACGCAATCCTCGAGACTGCCGCCGACGTGGAAGTCCAGGAGCCCAAGGGTGAAAGTGCCGAAAATGCGAAGACCACCGACAAGTCGACAACCCAGAAAGCGCCTCGCCAAATGCAGGTTCCGATCATTCCGCCGCACAATCTTACTCTTGTGGTCAAGATCTTTGTTGCTCGGGAATGTAGCTCCAAGACGTTCCAAAACACCATCTCAGCTATCAAGAACTTGTCTGCTATTCCAGGCGCCAAGGCAACATTCGGACAGGAACTGGTCCGCCAAGCTCGTGTCTTGAGTGAGAACATTGTCGCGGATCTCGATGAGCTGCTTCCTCATATTGAGAAGGCTACGTCGGGAACCGAGATTCAAGGTGTTGCGCTTGCCAAATTTTCTCCCGGTGCTTCTGAGCAGAACAAGCTCCTCCGTGTTCTCACGGCGCTCGATCACCTATTCGACAACAAGAAGAAGAGTGACAAGGCAGATGAAGATGCCGAGACCAGCATCAACGAAAAGCAGGATCTCGTTACTTCACTGTACCACAACTCGACCTTCTCCATGATGTGGGAGAAACTGAGCGCCTGTCTCAGCGCTATCCGTGAGCGGGAGAACATGGTTAACGTAGCAACGATCCTTCTGCCACTGATAGAATCGCTCATGGTCGTCTGCAAGAATACCGCTATGAACGACGACTCACAGACTCAGAACCAGACAAGCAAGGAGATGCTGCTATCAAGCCCGCCCCCGGAGAATCGCATGGCCGGCCTCTTCTTCACCTTCACCGAGGACCACCGTCGCATCCTCAATGAGCTAGTCCGCAACAGTCCGAAGCTCATGTCCGGAACGTTTTCGCTTCTGGTCAAGAATCCAAAGGTTCTCGAGTTCGACAACAAACGCAATTACTTCAACCGTAGTGTGCACAGCCGTTCCAGTAACAATCAACGGCCGTCGTTCCCTGCGTTGCAGCTCTCAGTACGCCGCGAGCATGTCTTCCACGACTCCTTCAAGTCGCTTTACTTCAAGACCGGCGACGAGATGAAGTATGGCAAGCTCAACATTCGCTTCCACAACGAGGAGGGTGTCGACGCCGGAGGTGTAACCCGCGAGTGGTTCCAGGTCTTGTCCAGGCAAATGTTCGATGCCAACTATGCACTCTTCATTCCGGTCTCCTCTGACCGTACCACATTCCACCCCAACAAGTTGAGTGGCATTAATGACGAGCATCTCATGTTCTTCAAGTTCATTGGTCGCATCATCGGAAAGGCCTTGTATGAGGGTCGGGTTCTCGACTGTTACTTCAGCCGCGCTGTGTACAAGCGTATTCTCGGCAAGTCGGTATCCGTCAAGGACATGGAATCTTTCGATCCGGATTACTACAAGTCTTTGGTGTGGATGCTCGATAATGACATCACGGACATCATCACAGAGACGTTCTCGGTGGAGGACGATGAGTTTGGCGTGACTCGTACTGTTGACCTTTGCCCCGGCGGTCGTGACATCGCCGTCACCGAGGAGAACAAGCATGACTACGTGAGATTGGTGGTGGAGCACAAGCTGCTGTCATCTGTTAAGGAACAGATGGAACACTTCTTGAAGGGTAAGTCTGATTACCCAAGCAAGACTGGAAAAAGAAGACATTTTGCTAACTATTGTACTAGGATTCCATGATATCATTCCCGCGGATCTCATCTCCATTTTCAACGAGCAGGAGTTGGAACTTCTCATCTCCGGCTTGCCCGACATTGACGTTGACGACTGGAAGAGCAACACGGAATACCACAATTACACTCCGTCATCACCGCAGATCCAATGGTTCTGGCGAGCGATCCGTTCATTCGACAAGGAGGAGCGCGCCAAGCTGCTGCAGTTCGTGACTGGAACCAGTAAGGTGCCTCTCAATGGATTCAAGGAGCTGGAGGGTATGAATGGTATCAACCGCTTCAACATCCATCGAGACTATGGCAACAAGGAGCGCCTTCCCAGCTCGCACACATGCTTCAACCGTACGTTATCCCTTGGAACCAAGTTTGAAATGCATCCACTAACCAATTGTCACAGAACTTGATCTCCCTGAATACGAGAACTACGAAATGCTTCGTCAACAACTCATGAAGGCCATCACAGCAGGAAGCGACTACTTCGGCTTTGCATAAGAAGGGAGCGAGCAAAGATAGACAGTTTTGCGGTCACGTCAGCATTTGCATTATGGATGGTAGGCGACACAGGACATTGGAATGGGGGAGACGGGCGTGATTTTTGAGTGGGAGGGCATTGTGAATAAATGCCGAACCACATGTACATACTTATGGCGACTCTCTCGGCCTTGGCTTAGGAAGTACCAGGTCAGGTCTGCTTGCGTTATCCTCTTTCGATTTTGAGGCCTTCATATTACGAATCGTCGGTTGGTTCTTTGCGGAGTGCAGGCCGCTTGGAACTTCAGCTGGCTGATGATGGTATGGAGGTCCAGTATGTAGAGTATCCAATTCGAAGCTCGTCAGATGATTATGAACACACGAATGTTAAGGGGAAAGTCCAAATAAACACTCTGTGTTGGTTCCGTGACTTATTCTTGGGTTTCAGGCGGTGGGCCAAAATAGAAGTATTCTATAGATTGAATGAACCATAGACAGCACGACACTGATGCATCCGGGTCATGCATCGCAGCCATTATCGGTGATAGTGCGATCCTCGATCCACTTCGAATTATATCGTCAAAATGGCTCTAATTTAAAGGTGCTCTGGTCGCTACATAGTAGAAGGAAGCATTCTTCTTCGGGTATGCATGTTGGCTAATCGCATTCGCCAATGGATCAGGCAAGGTAGGCAGCTAATACAGAGGCCTTGAGAGGCCAAGGTCTGCCAGTAAAGCAAGAGCCGAAGACGGATCCATGCCTTTCTCCACATAATATTGACCTCTCAGGGATTGCGGAACACTGCCGACAAAGCACTAAGTTTTTTTTTCGTACTTTTTTTCCCAAGCAGTCTACTCCGATCCCAGCCGGTGCGAATACTCAAGTGGACAGGCACACGATAGACCCGACCCGGCCATTACTCACGGTAAAAGCTGTTCACATACTCTTTGCTCTTGCAACCCCACGTAAAAGGCAATCCCGCTGTCTCACTCAACCGCATATCACCACCAGAAAGGCCTCCCCAATCGACCTCGACCATAGTGTGTGTGACACCGCCACACCGACCGACCGATAGCCATACCCCTCCATCGTGACCCCGCGCTGCGATTCGATTCGTCCAGACAGATCCGACAGTACCTTAGCCTGCCAAACCTCAGCAAGGTGCCGCAGCAACAGCAGCAACTCCTTTATAGTCGGCCGATTGCCCCTCCTCGAAATCCTTCTTTCCCTTTTTCTCCCCTTGTCGTCACACATCGACCGGTCTCATGGGGGATATGACAAACGACATCAAGCTCCTCAAGGGCAGCAGCCATGGGGAATTGTCCGAGAAGGTCGCTCAGCGGTATGAATCCTCCGTGGTATAGAGGAACGAAGCAAGCAGAAGCGGTCGCTGACGTAGGGTCGCGAATATTGCAGACTGGGCATTCCCCTTGCGAAGACCATGAGGTAAGCTTTTGCCTCTATTCAAGACCTGGTGCCCTTCCGGCGCAGGCGCGACATTCTTTGGAGATCAAATCTAATTGACCGCTTCTTTGCGCCTTTACAGCTTGAACTACTCCAACCAAGAGACGAGGTTAGCGAACAATCCCTCGAACCCCGGCAGGCTCCGGTCGTTGAGTGGCATGTAAAGCTGACTTCTCTACTGTGTCACCGTTGGCGAGAGCGTCCGCGACGAAGATGTCTTCATCGTCCAGTCCAGCGAGCCCGGCAACATCAACGACGGGCTCATGGAGCTTCTCATCATGATCCACGCCTGCAGAACCGCGTCTGCCCGCCGAATCACCGCCGTCATCCGTTAGTCTGCCCTCCGAACGATCAATAGGGATGTCGCATTGTTGGGGAAGGACGCTCGCTGACTGGAGATATACACACAGCTTGCTTCCCTTACGCTAGACAGGACAAGAAGGACAAGAGTCGTGCTCCGATTAGCGCCAAGCTTGTCGCGAACATGCTGCAGGTTTCCGGCTGCGTAAGTCCCCCGAAATTCTTGAGGGGGAAGGAAAGAGAGACGAAGCACAGAGGGAGAGAGCATCTTAAGCTGACCTCATGGGCGCAAACATAGAACCACGTCATCACGATGGACCTTCACGCCTCGCAGATCCAGGGATTCTTCAACATCCCCGTCGACAACCTGTACGCCGAGCCGAGTGTCCTTCAGTGGATCAGACAGAACATGAACGTCGAGGACTGCGTCATCGTCAGTCCCGACGCGGGCGGCGCCAAGCGTGCCACCGGTATTGCCGATCGCCTGGAGACCGGCTTCGCCCTCATCCACAAGGAGCGCCCGCGCCCCAACGTTGTCGGCCGCATGATTCTCGTCGGAGACGTCACTGACAAGATTGCTATTCTGGTCGACGACATGGCTGACACTTGCGGCACCCTCGCCAAGTTCGTATAATCCTCGTGACATGATGTTTTGGCACCACTAACAGTCGCCACAGGGCTGCGGAGACTCTCGAGACCGGCGGTGCGCGTGAAGGTACGTCATCTTTAGTATCCATAACGTGAAGAGCCATGCACTGACAGTGAACAAAAAAAAAACAGTCATCGCTATCGTCACCCATGGCGTCCTCAGCGGTAATGCCGTCGAGACGCTCAACAAGAGCTGCCTGTCCCGCGTCGTCGTCACCAACACGGTGCCCCTCGGCGACAAGATTGAGCGCTGCCCCAAGCTGCGCGTCATCGACATCAGCCAGGTCCTCGGCGAGGCCATCCGCCGCACCCACAACGGCGAGAGCGTCAGCTACCTCTTCAACCACGTTCCCGTCTAGAGAGGGGTTCCGTGATGAAGGGTTTAAGAGTTTCAGTAGCAATTCTAGCAGCAGCAGCAGCAATAGCCTCGAGGATTTTCACATGGCATATTGGGGGAGGGGTTTCCTTTTCCAAATTGGGGTGGGCGTACGGTACAAACGGGCATTTTGCGGGTTTCCTTTTTCGATCCGGCAGGAAGACCTGCTTTTAGAGAAAAGTTCGGCTTTACCGGCAGATTTAAAATAAAAGAACGAAATGGATTCTCTACCAAAACGCTTACGTGTACATGTGATGTCGCTAATTTTCCATACATGAGGCGTGACATACCTTGGTTCTGCGGTCATTTGGCGGCGCAAAAGATTGACAGGGTCCGGTGGGTCTGCCTTGATACCAGCTCTGGACCAAACGTTGACAGCCCCCGCTCCGGAAGAGAACGAAAATCTAGACAGTCCAACCCCAGAATCTTGTGCGGGGCAGGGCTGAGATTTCTTACGAGGCTCATAGGTACTCCAGTAGTGTCTTCCGGAGATGGATAATGAACGTCAGAGTAACGATAGGCAGATTGGTAGGTGGACATATGGCACGAGCAAGTAAGGTATCAATCTTGTTTAACATCATAAAACAATTGCTGGTGGTATTTCGCGTGTCAAAAGGATGTGCATTTCCATTTTTGAATGCCCTATTACATTCATGATGTTGACTGAAAACTTGTTTCATGACATGAGTTCCCAGTGCCCCATTTCCCTTTTTCCACGCCAATGCAAGAAAACCAGAAGACCCGAGTAATCTTTCACTTTTTTCATGATTCCCAACGCAACACCGCCGCCATGACGACAAGTTTACTTGCGCATGGAAGAGGCACGGCGCTTGCGGAGCTCGGCCTTCTCGGTCTTGCGCTCGGCAACACGCTTGGCAAGGACCTGGGCGTATTCGTTCTGGATAGGGGGTTAGTATGACTTGAAGCATCAAGATAAGATGTATAATGGGCAAACGTACGGCCTCGTCCTTGACCTTCTCGGACTGGCGGCGCTTGAGGGCAATGCGGTGGCGCTTGTGCTGGAGACGCTGGGGGGTGACGAGTCTCTGGATCTTGGGAGCCTTGGTGTAAGGCTTCTTGCCCTCGCCCTTGGGCTGGACCTCGCGGCGGATGACGTACTTGCGGACCTATAAGTTGCAGCAAAGAATGCCTCATTAGCCACTTGCATAGGGTATCTGTGATGTGTATAGCATTGGGATTAAAGCCCGACACATGCTCCCACCTCTTCCTTCTCTCTCCCTCTCTCGTTTTCTGATATATCTGGCGCACTTTCTCAAGGCATTCAACAGATATCGTCTGATGAAAGAAGTAGTTCGAAGGCAGAGGGGAAACACGGTCCCGTCTCTCACACTCTACCTGGTCCGCTCGACCCTCCGCCGCAGAACCAGGTAGGCGATGACGAAGTGGCTGTTGGAAGGGTGGACCGCAACAGGGAGCACACATACATCGTCATCCTTGGTGAGGCTGAAGAACTTGCGGATCTTGGTGGCACGCTTGGGACCGAGGCGCTTGGGGTGGACGACGTCGGTGAGGCCGGGGATGTCGGCCTCGCCCTGCTTGACGATGGAGAGGGCAAGGACGGAGAGGTCCATGCCGACGATGCAGCCGCGGACGGACTTGCGCTTGCGCTCACCGGTGCGGCGGGGGCGGTAGCAGGAGTGTCCCTCGGAGAGGAGGAGGCGGACACGGGTAGGGTGCATGACACCCTGCTTCATCGGGAAACCCTGCTTGTCGTTGCCTCCGGTGATGCGGAAGATGTAGCCCTTGAACTCGTCGCCGACGGAGTCACCGGGGACCTCAGCGCCCATGCGCTTCTCCATGAAGACGCGGAGCTTGCGCTCATCCTCAATGTCGATGAGCTTCTGGCTGCCATTGGCAGGGTAGGAGATGTTCAACTGTAGTCAAGAAAAATGGTCAGCAACCTTGAACGTGACTTTTCCACCCCCTCCGAATATTTCCAAATATTCGGCGCGGTGATCAGACCGCCAGCGATTTCGAACTCGACGTCGTTGATATGGCAATTCCATCGCGTTCGATTGTATCGCTCTCGTCTGTCGGGATATGGTGTTATCGTACCTTCATCTTGCCGGCGTTGGGTGGTGCAAGTGTTGTCGACTGCGGCTGGGCGTTGGGCGTGGATTGTTCAGTGGGAAGGAGGAAAAGCGGAAAGTTACTCTTGAATTTTCGAGAATGTGTGCGTCGCTAGAGCCCTGCTGCGAAAAAAATCCCTAGGCCAATCACAGGCCGCGGGAAGTTCTTTCGGTAAGTTTTTCCATGGGCCGTGCTTAGACAGCCCCGGGTCACGTGTTTGTCCTGTTTAGGAAGGTACGCGGGCCGGGATACGTGCCCCCACCACAGCCTCCGTTTTCCGGGCAGGTTCAGATGGACGACTCCACACTGTTGTAGTGTCGCGCTTCACGATTCGCGATCAAGACATCCGTATATCACGAACAAACGGCGTTGCTGTCACCCAGGCAATCTCCCAATCACGGCTCTGTATCATTTATATCGCCAACTAAATCAACACACGACATCTGCTCTCGACAATGTCATCGGTCAAAATCTATCCTCCTAAGAAGGGCTCCTCAGCTTCAGAAAGCCCATTGCCCCCACTCATCAAGACACCCTCTGGACTTGCGCTGCTTGAGATGCAAGGAACTGTCAACGTGCCTCATTTCAACCCCGACGAGGATTCCAGCAAAAACGAGCCCGAGATATCCATTGGCAAAGTAACATTCCCTGACTATCACCCCGAAACGCAGGAAGAGGGCAGCACGGCCTGGATGAAGCGCGTCTTCCTCTATGTCGGCCAGCATCAGAGACTACAGGGCGAAGTTAAGAAGCTTCCGAAGGCCATGGCTATTATCCGGCGGAAGGGAGGTGCCACTACTAGCGGTGAAGGAGAGGCTGAGGAGGAGCTCGAGATTGCTGAGATCGTCAAGTACAAGATCATGTTTGGGAACCGGCCAGAGCCCGTTGGTACGGAAAACACATAGGAGACGTCTTCGTTATCGACGGTTCGAGGCCACCGGAGCGATCTTTGAAGAATGACACCCACACCGACGAGGCTACTCATGATGTGGTGAGAGGGCAATTGTTGCCAAGGACGATAGCGGTTGCGGCGTTCATCCTGTCGTGTTGCTACGATACCGGAACAGGAGAACTATGACTGGCACGGCAGATCCCTTGCCGTCTATATTTCCGTGACGCTTGTTCATTGCGGCGGCTCCGGTGCCATCATAGCCGGTCATCAAACGTAAGACTGGTATGCCACCTTGATCTGTCTGTGGCAGATCACCTTTGACTCATGAAGCTCTCAGCAAAGGTTGCCAACCTCACATTCATCCCCGCTACATCTTGGTCAGCGTGATCATCAGGGACGCATCTCATAAGCTCGTATGTCTTTGCGACAGAATGACAACTACGGCTCACAAATCATATCGCTGCGGTTCGAGGCATTGGTAGGCTGCGGTCAAAGCGACGAATGAGACGCGCATCAGCTTCCCCGGATCTTCGGCAATTGCATCTTTCTGAGCAACATCATTCGAGTGCCGCATTTATCACTGGTTGTTTGAATAAGTCACGTTGGCTCAAGTAGCATCAATGATTCGAACGTGTCGACTTATTCTGCCTAAGTACCTTGGTTGGCGGTGCTTCATGGTAGTTATTCTCATAATCAGCACCAGTTGTTTGCTTGCTGGGTAAGCCACAACAGGTAACTGGCGCTTGGTCTACCAGTCTGCGAATTTCTTGGCCGTTACCTGTCTCATCCATTGGGTTGCGTGCTTGTTGGTCTCCTTTAGAGATGCAAGTCAACACGGATCGCTCTGATCGCAATTTAGTCGGAAGCATGAGACCCTACTTGCATTTAGGCATCTCTCCTTCAGAATCGCATAGTCAAAAGTCCCTGTGTCATCAAGCAATGAGGCTATGAAGGATTTTGGAATGAGACGAACAACCGAACAGAAAGTAATTCGCTGCCGCGAGGTTGTGAGGCGACGGCCCGTCGCAACAAACACCTCCAAACCTGCGTCGGCAAACAGACAATTTATTCCAAGGCATGATTTTATTGGTCTCGCTATTCGTTTCCGGAAGCATTGCGCAGCAGGCTTAGTCGCCCTGTCAACTTTACTCTGGTTTGAGTTCAATTATGAGGGACTACGCGGGTCATACAAACCAGGCTGACTGAAGTGGGTATCAACGCTAGTGTTATTATGCCCATTGTCTTCGTCACTGTTGATGAGCTTTCTTCATATCGATGACCAGTTCAATTTCTAACAAACATGCGTTCCAAGCAACCTCATCCCATTCTGGCACCATCGCCTTCAGCAAGTGTCATGGATAGCCTCGGCTCTCGCCGAATGCTCGGCCAAATCAATGGACTTAATAGCGGCCTCGACAATATTCGTAGAGGTCGAGGTTGTTCTGACAGTCAGGGATTCTCCACGCCTCCGCACCGGCCGTGAGGGGACTCTGGAGACTACCCGAGGAGGCTATTAGGATAAATGCTCACAATCCAACTCTAATTTAACCGCAGACAGCCTGATTGAACGGTTCCCCATTCTGCCCCAGCAAAAGATGGGGAAGGTCATGTCAGGGACGATCCCTGAAAGCCGCTAATTGAGAGCACCATTGGTTCTATCCAACCGCGACCACCGCGTCTTTGGTTCTCACCGGAATGAGCTCCCCTTCCAGCGCACTTGTCCCGGTACCCACATCACGGGACTTGACCTTTGAATCCCGAAGCCCTTCTCTCTTCCAACCAACGCCGTGTCACCTAGGCTTGCAGGTCTTGGGACCAAGGCGCCGGTACATGGTCAAGCCGGGTTCCTATCCCTTAGAGGGCGTCACCCCACGGCGGTAGTCCTTGCTAGCTTAGTAGCTTGGCACTGTTGCATTGGATGATCTGGAGATTGCTCTCGTCCGTTCGCCTGGAAATTTGGGGTAATCATGGGGAAACGGAATCGCATCGGGGGCCGGATCTTGCATATATGAATTGCGTCGCCCTCGTTATGGAGTGTTCCTATTGATCTCACCCTCGTCCACGCCGGCCTCGGTCTTCCAAGATAGGTCCTCTCGTTTCTCGCCCAAGTTCCATTGTCACCAGACGGTCAAGATGCATATCCAATCACTCACCGTTCCCCTCCTGGCGGCGTCCTTGCCCCTAGCCTCGGCTCAGCTTGACTACTACGCGAAGAAAGCAGGCTTGCTGTACTTTGGTGCTGCAACTGACTCCCCAGGACAGCGCGAGCGCGCTGGTCTGGAGGCATCCTACGAGCAGTACGACGCCATCCTCGATGATATCAACGAGTTTGGCCAAACAACCCCGACAAATGGGCAAAAGGTTGGTTTTGAAATGACAGCTTGTTAGTAAAGGATTCAAGTTAACGTCTCACTTAGTGGCTTTTCACCGAGCCCTCGCCGGGTGTTTTCAACTTCACAGAGGGCGATATCGTGACCTCCATCGCCGAAGAGAACGGCCAGATCCTCCGTTGCCACGCCCTTGTCTGGCACAGCCAGCTCGCCCCCTGGGTTGAGAATACAACATGGACGCCCGAAGAGCTCACCGAGGTGATTGTCAGACACATCCACGAGGTTGCTGGCCACTACAAAGGCAAGTGCTACGCCTGGGACGTCGTCAATGAGGCTCTTAACGAGGACGGCACATATCGCGAGTCCGTTTTCTACAACGTTCTCGGCGAGGAGTACCTTAAGTTGGCCTTCCGCACCGCGGCCGAGGTCGATCCGGCGGCGAAGCTGTACTACAACGACTACAACCTCGAGTCGGTCGGTCCCAAAAGCGAGGGCGCCAAGCGCATCGTGAAGCTGCTCCAGGACGACGGCATCAAGGTTGACGGCATTGGCATGCAAGCTCACCTCGTAGCTGATAGGGCGCCTAGCCTGGACCAGCAAGTCGAGGTCATTCGCAGCTACGCCGAGCTCGGAGTCGAGGTTGCCCTCACAGAGCTGGATGTCCGTGTCGAGCTCCCGGTAAATGAGACAAACCTGGCGTGGCAAAAGGAGGCGTATAAGAACGTAGGTTTACCCAGTCGCCCACCCCATCTTCGGATGCATTCAAGACGCTAACTAATTCGTCTATAGTCTACCAGTGCCTGTCTTCAAGTAGCGGCTTGCATTGGCATCACGATCTGGGATTTCTACGACCCCTTCAGCTGGGTTCCCGCCGTCTTCCCGGGTGAAGGTGCTGCCCTTCTCTGGTTCGAGGACTTCAGCAAGCACCCGGCCTATGATGGCGTTCTCGAGGCATTGAAGAACACGACTGCGGCTCCCTGTAGAAGGAGGCGGTCCTTAGGGTCTGGCAAGAGCAAGAAGCTGTTTTAGTTAGTTGTATAGGCGAAGGGGTGTCGGGTGAGCTTTGTAACAAGCGTTATTGTCGAAAGCTTAGCTGGAGCAAGGCAATGAAGGCAAGAGTCGGTTGGGTACGCGATTAGCATAGCGTTCTTGGCATCAGCAATAGCTAACTCCACCATCATGACAAGCCTTATCGCCTTTGAGAAATCAGAATGCAGTGTTTAATCTGATGTGGACAATATCCAATAAGAAAACATCTTAATTCAGTCCATGTGGTGGCTTTTCCCCAGGCGCAAAAGATCGACCTCAAGGGGGTCAGGTTTTCGAGAGAAACTACACGATGTGGTGTACTTTCGAACCATACGGCATACGCAATGTGCCCCAGGCACGCATTCAAATCGATATGGTAATTTCGATGCGACAACCGCGATGCAATGAATTCAGCCCACACTTTGTGGACATTTCAATCACCCGCCTGGGTCAACTGGCTCCGATCGCCTTAGTCTTACATCAACAACAAGCTAACAGATCCAGCTCCGTACTCTTAAGTGCCAGCTACTCTTATCATTGTGTCAGAGAGCTCTTGGGCAGGGGCACAAGTTTATTTTTCACATTTCTTTTTTAGTTTGTTCATGTAACACCTTCGCGGGCTATGGGAAAAGGACTGCCCCTATGTGCTCTTGGCTCACATCGTCAGACAGTTGAGGGTCCTCTTTAAATAAGGTCTCGGGCCGAAGATGGATCTCGCCGCTCGCACTCCGCATATATAATTGAGCCTTGAAGCCACGTACTTCGTGGCCGTTAAAGTTCTTTTGTCGTCCACTCACAAATTCAACGTTGAATTGTTGTATCCTCGTCGTCTCCGGTGGTAGGCCCGGATATTTAGGATGTACCCCTGGCGTGACCCGACCGTCCATATTCAATTCCACCCCGTGTTCTATTTCGATGATTCTCCGAGCCAGAGCGCACATGCCGTCCCTATCCCACAAGTTCTCTCGGGGCGCGGCGAGAAGTTTGAGGAGACGCAGGGCCTCTAGTCGGCAACCCAGGTCCCTACACCGCTGCGCGCAGAAGAAGAGCGGCGCGATAAAGCCCATTTCGAAGGCCGGGGCCGTTTTGATTTCTGTGCTGTTTTGTTCGGCGGCGGCTTGCGCTGTCTCCTCGACGACTTTGCGGAACTCGTCGAGGAAGTCATCGTAGCCCATCTCGGAACGTACGAAGGCGTTGTTCAGCCAGATCAGACAGATCCGATACCTCGCTAGAGCGAATGCGCGCGCGAATCCCGAGATTTTGGATGTCGTTTGCCCCCGTCTGGCTTCGAGGTCTGTGAACATGCCGTACCACTTATTTAGTTGGTTTAAGACTGTGTCCTGTTCCTCTAGGAGTTCTGACGGCACTGGAACATCTTTCTTTTGTCCTACGCGATATGTGTCACCGCGGCGGATAGTCTGCAAGGCTTGGTTGAACACGTCGTCAATCATGGCTTCGGCTTCGGAGAAGGTATTGAACAAGTCCGGTATTGGGCATCTCGAAATGCTCAGATCGAGCATATCCGATGGTCCGCTCCCGAAGAAGAAGGGCAACGCGCTCAATCTTCGAAACAATGGCGTGAGGTATTGCCTCACCCACTTGTACGAGGTAGAGTCGGAGCTGGCGAGTATGGCAGTGCCGTGAGCGCAGTGAC